ACGATAGCTACTTGACCAAAATGGATTCACAAATATAAAATATCAGAAAAGGAAACTTGTATATGTATATATATTGTCACAAGAATATCAGAGCGCAAATGCGAAAAAAAAGAAAGAAGACCAAGAAAAAATGAATTCTGTTTTTTATCTTCTTCCTTATAACTCCCCCTGTTCAGAACCTCTTGCGTACAAGGCCGCCCACGTGGATGTAGGTTGAGCGGCGGCCGCCCCCACCTATATACATCGTCACAAACAGAACTGCCCGGTAAACCGTAGGCAGAGAGAGAGAAGAGGACAACAAACGAGGGGCTGTGACAAACTGTTTCGTCGGAGTTTCACCGACTCATCAGGAGGCTGAACCCTCAACAGTCTGCAGAATCCCCTCACTGATTACACTGTATAGGTCTGTTTTCCTCCTGTTCTTCACCTCTCTGCCTTTTGGCTGCGTGCAAGTGGGTCCTTGTGACACACGGGGATGGGGGCAGCCAGCGCTCAACCTGTCATCCACGTGGCTGGCCTTGCACGTAGGCGGTGATGAACAGGTGGGGCTTTCCTTCCTTACCTTTTTTTTCTTTCCCTTCCTTGTTTTGCTTTTTTCCGCCTTTGCGCTCTGATTCACAATGTGACAATATATATATATATATCGTCACAAACAGAACTGCCCGGTAAACCGTAGGCAGAGAGAGAGAAGAGGACAACAAACGAGGGGCTGTGGCAAACTGTTTCGTCGGAGTTTCACCGACTCATCAGGAGGCTGAACCCTCAACAGTCTGCAGAATCCCCTCACTGATTACACTGTAAATGATAATCTACCTTAACCAAAATCAATATATATTCACAGTGTGACAATATATTGTCACATTGTGAATCAGAGCGCAAAAAAGGGGAAAGAAAAAAGGAAAAGGAAAAAAGAGGGAGGGGGAAGAGGTAAGGAAAGCTCCACCTGTTCATAACCTCTTACGTACAAGGCCAGCCACGTGGTTGACAGGTTGAGCGCTGTATATACCAACCCAAAGGGGTGATCTCGGATTAGCTCTTGACATTATAGGTTGTTTTGCTATTTTCCAAAAAGCAGGCCCTTTTTTTTTTTTTTTTAAGAGGGCTGCGCCGCTCTGTGATGCAGCGCAATACAGAGCCAGCACTCGAGGGGTCAAGTAAGCAAATCTTTTACCCGTATGACTCCTCCGTGGCCCAGAAAAACGCATTTACTACTGTAATATCGTGTAGTCCGATGGACCACGGATCAAATCGGACCAGGTCAAAAGCACACTTTTCAAAGTTTTTTGCTTTTCCTTTTTCCTTCCACTTCATGTTTCAACGTTCAATCAAATGAATCGACTTTTCAACGATTTTTGCTTTTCCTTTTTCCTTCCACTTCTAGTTTCCCCCACGGCCATCATAACACGACGATCAGAATTACCATCCAGAAGAACAAAAAGAAGAAACAAAGAAAAATACATGATGGGGGTCAGTCCCGAACGTGTGCCCTCAGAAGCACAAGTGACGGTATCCCGTCATTCGTTCTCATTTTGCACATGTGGTGTACTACCTTCTTCCCCCGAATACAACGTACGGTCATTATAGCTGTATTTGGGCTGTCTTTCAGTCTAGATATAGCTATAATGACCGTACGTTGTATTCGGGGGAAGAAGGTAGGAGAGGAGCGACGCCCTACGTTTCAGATCGGCGAACTTGCTAGGTCAAAAAAGTAAATTAATGCAATGACGGCACTAAAAAAAATGAATGCTCGTGTTTTGGTTTAGTATTAAAAATAAAAAGTAAATGGAGTCAGCAGTCAATCAAGCTCAGTACAAATGACAGTTAAATGGGCCGAGCCCCCCTGAAAGAGATGAGAGCCCATTCGTAAAAAGTAAATTGTGGATATGTTAAATTGAACCACAGTAGACATATTCTTATTGGTATGTGTATATTTGACCGTACAATAATGAAAAATTATTATCAAATCAAATCAAATCAAAATAAAATAACTGATCAGTTAAGTGAAATGCGTAATGTTCCTCTCTAATCGGTCCTCGTCCCGATAATTCAGGGCGACTATTCACTCTATAATTCTATTCCTTCCTAAATTAAAGGCCCCCCAAAATAAATAAATAAATAAATAAATCCACCCAAATTATGGGCCAAATATGAATAAATACTAAATACACAAATACCGTACATGGACTGGATGTCGATCTAGGTTATCTACGAACGGCCGTCGTATATGGACTGGCCGTCGATCTAGGTTAATTCGTGCAAGTCGGATGATCTCGCCCGGTGAGTTCCGTGTCAATCCAGTAAGCAGAGCTCAGCTCAACTCACGAGAATCCTTCTTTTCCCCCCGACTTTCCGGGCGTACTCACACTAGCAGTACCTCAAATGTATCTGATCGCATTTACGGCCATACCTGGATGTATCAGGCCACAATTCCGTCCAGAAGTACGTAAAGACTCTAAAGAGGTCGTAGTGTGAGTTAGCCCTCAGTTGAATATTTTTATTTTTTTATTATTTTTTTATTTTTTTGCACTTCTGTTTTTCCTTTTCCAGATACACGCACACTATTTTATCGACAACAGCGGCAGGAAGCACTACGAGAAACCAGCGTTCTATTCGCGTGAAGACGATAAACCCAACGATCTATTCGGGTAAAGACGGTAGGAGAAACCCCTGGCTGAGATAGGAGTCATTACCCAGGATGCCGGTCTGATGCCGAACCAAGGTTAGGGAGTTTATCACCAGCCCTTTGTGGAACAAGGGAGTGTGACATCGATGTCAAGGAAGCTCACAAGAGAGAAGCTCACAAGAGAAAAGCTCACAAGAGAGAAGCTCACAAGAGAGAATCCAAAAGGAATAGTGAAACAGAGTTCGGGTAAATGGTCTGGTTAATTCAGTTAAGCTCAGTTCAGCTGAGCTCCGTTCATTTCACTGGAATTTTTTATCAAGCAGCTTGACCTGAGCTGCTGAGTCGGTGTAATTCCGTCAGTCGAGCTTTTATATGACCTGAAAGCACGGAGGGAATCTAGACCCCTGTAGACCCCTGTAGACCCCTGATAAATTTACTAAGTTCACCCGACGGAACGAGAGCTTCCCCTCGACCGCCCCAAGGGACCGATATCACTAACCGAAGGATTAATGGACTGACGAATTGATGAATGATAGATTGAGGAATGGATGAATTCATGGATTGATAAATTGATGAATCCATGGATCGATGGATTGGTTGATTGATTGAGATCGACTGATTGATTGGTTGATTGATTGATTGATTGGTTGATTGATTGGTTGATTGATTGATTGATTGGTTGACTGATTGGTTGGTTGGTTGGTTGGCTGATTATCTTTACCTGTGCTGACCAATTACAGCAACAGAATTCATGCGATTAATGTTCAACCCTTTCGCCTGCGCTCACTGCCAACGGGATTTTTTCTTTCATCTTTTTTCCAACGGGATTTTTTGAGTTCTCGATTACTTAATTCTTTTATCCGCATCGCTGCGCTCATTGCTATTTCCCCTATTCATCCTAACGGCACGAGACGAATTTCCTTTTCTACCGAACACATCTGCACGGACAAGCCAAACAATCAATTTAGCTCGTCCGTTAGTTGATCAATTGGCAGAAGAGAAACGAGAGGAGATAGACAAGAGGGAGATGAGAGGAGAGAGAGAGAGAGAGAGAACAAAGAGTGGAAAAGAGTCGAGAGGAGCAAGAGAAAAGAGAGACGGAGAGGACAAAGGGGAGAGAGTAAGGAGAGATACTGAGAACCAAAGGAGAGCAGACAGATGTTCGCCAGCAAGCAATCAAGAACCCAAGATGAGGTGGCAGACCATTGTTCATTACCTATACAAGGAATCTCGGCCGTCGACATAAGGACCCCATAAGGACCCACTTCTACTATCCTCGACTCCTCTACCCTTCCTCTCTCTCCTTGCCAATCCTGTCTCTGTGTCCAACTACTGTATCTGTTTTTTCACTTGAGGACGTATCGCATCAAAACCGTATTTTCGAGGTAGGAATAAGTAATCATTAACTCCCGCCCACTTGGTTCTTCTCGAGGCCAAGGACGCCGGTTGGAATCCGTGCTTGCACGGAGTAGGGCCTTGGGCCCAGATGTACGGATCTATAACTACCATGAGATGCGTCTTTTTTTTTTTTCCCCCATTTTTTCTCTCATTTTCTTTTCAATAAGTGCGGAGTTTTTCATCCGCTAATTAGAATTTCTAGACATTTCTCTCTCTCTGAGGGCACGCTCACACTAGGACTTCTTAACGCATTTTTGGACGGAATTGCGTCCAGATACATTAAGCTATGGCCGTGAATGCGGTCATATACGTTTGAGATACTGCTAGTGTGAGTACGCCCTGAGATGTACCAAGAGATGCGTCTTCGGCATCATCCAGACAAAACAAACTGTTCGATGGCAGGGTTTTTTTTTTTTTTTTTTTGGCCGGCAGTTTTCAGTTTCGTGCTGCCGCCGGCAGTGACATAGGCACGGGATTGCAATCCCGACGGACGCGGAATCCGGCGGGGAGAATTACGCTGAA